GAGCCACAGGTGGCGCCCTTACCTCTTTACTATTATCTGGCGTAACTTCCAGATAAGGTTGGTAACATATTCTACTTCCTAACTATGATTAAATCGTGTGGACTTTTTATTTATTTATTTATTCTTTTTATTTATTTATTTATTTTTAATTTTACAAGGAAAGCACGAATGCAGTCCCCCCACCCCCAAATTACGCTGTCAAGTTTCCTACATTTGGGAAAATCACAGGGGTCAGCACATCCAGAGTGTGATGGATAAGCCTCGCCTTGGGAAAACCACCTTCATGATCATGGTATCTCCCCTGCCAGGTAAGTATGATGCTATAAATTTTTATTTTTTTTTTGAGACAGGAGCCTCAAGCTGTCCCCCTGGGTAGAGAGCCATGGCATTTCAACTCACAGTAACCTCCAACTCCTGGGCCCAAGCGAGTCTCCTGCCTCAACCTCCCAAGCAGCTGGGACCACAGGCACCCACCACAACGCCCGGCTATTTTTTGGTTGCAGCCGTCATTGTTGTTTGGCGAGCCCAGGCTGGATTCCAACCCACCACCTTGGGTGTATGTGGCTGGCGCCTTAGCCACTTGAGCCACAGGCGCCGAGCCAGATGCTATAATTTTTTAAAAATCAATAAATGGTGTTTACATTTCGAGCCCATTTTTGAAGCACAGAAGGAAAGGATATTACCAAAGGGGAGGGAATAAGAGCTTTCTCAGGGTAGCCAATAGCATGAGCAAAATCACCAGGACCTAACTCATGCAGCAGATGTGCTCAGCTCAGGTAGAAAGCCCCTGGTGCAGGGGTGGAGAATTGAGTTGGCTAGAAGGAGGGGAAGGGAAGATGGAAAGCCAGGTGGCCTGCGTGCTGGGCTCTCTACTTCCCTACACTAACCCCAGAATTCTGAATCAACATGATCCTGGTACCATGACTCAGGGACTCCCACATCAGCCATCTTTATTTTCCCTTCCTAGCACTTCCTCCCTATCCACAGAACCAGTGCCTACTAGGGCTTTGTAGAATAATTTCTCCTCCTAAAGAAACTATATAGTTCCTAACTCAGAGGAAGGTCTCAAAGTGAAGACAGGAGGAAGGAGAGGATAGAGAAAGAAACAATCATTGAAAACCATCCAACTCCCAGTTCTGTGCCACTTACTTAATCCTTACCCCTACCCTCTGCACGAAGTTGATATCATTAGCACCATTTTACAGATAACAAGTGAGGCTGTGGAGACTACCTAACTTGCCCAAACCCACAAAGTAAGTTTAGGCAGAGCTCTGGCCTGTGCTTAAGAGGCTGAACCTCTCTGGGACTCAATTTCTTTTCTTT